GTGAGAGTGGGGGGGGAGGGGATGGGGAGGGGAAGGAAGAGGGGATGGGGATGGGGAAGGGAGGGAGTAAGGGGAGAGGGGAGAAGGGGAAGGGGGAGGGGAGGGAATGGGGAAGGAAGGGGAAGAGGGGAGCGTGGATGGAGGGAGTAAGGGGAGAGGGAGGAAGGGTGGGAGGGGGGGGAAGAGGGGGGAGGGAAGGGAAGGGGATGAGAGAGAAAGAGAGTGAAAGAGAGAGGGGGAGAGGATGAGGAGGGCGGAGAGAAGAGGAGGGGGGAGAGAGGAAGACAGAGAGAGAGGGAGGAGTTTTTTTTCTTTCTTTCTTTCTGTGTTTCTTTCTTTCTTTTTCTTTCTTTCTTTTTCTGTCTTTCTTTCTTTCTTTTGACTCGGACTTGCGGATTGGTTTTGATTGGGTTTTACGGGTTTTGTGCGCGGGAGAGTGTGAGATGGAGATAAAGGGAGAGAGAAAGAGAAGGGAAAGAGAGAGAGAGAGAGAAAGAGATAGAGAGCGAGGGAGTGAGAGAGAAGAAAAGCGAGAGAGTAGGGGAGAGAGAAAGAGAGGGGGGAGGGAAGAGAGGAAGGAGGAGAGAAATAGAGAGCGAGAGAGAGAAAGTAATCAATTCATGTAACAAAGTGTGCACCATGTTTCCCCTTTATATAGAAGTTACATGTCCTAAAATTCCCCGATTACAAGATAATCCATTTTTCCCTCTTATCCTTTGTATCATCATTATTCCCTCTCCTTCCTCTTCCTCTTCTAGTAACGTAATTTTGAAATCATTCTGTTTACTCTCTGCCCTTACCCCCCCCCCCCCCGCTGTTCCCACTACCTTAACCCCTTTTCCCACTTCCTGTTTCTACACCCTAAGGCACCCTTAACTACATGTTTTTTTCCCCACTCCCTGTTACAGCACTTTTAACCCTTTTTCTCCCTGACACCCTCTTCTGACCTCTCTCTGTTCCCTTTTCCAACATTGTCTCCCTTCACCCCCCTTAACTCCCTAAATTTCCATTTTTTCTTCTCACCATTCCAACATTCGTACATCTTACATCCTCCCTGCGATCCTGACACCTTTTCGCTATTTTCCCAAACACCCTTTCTTTCCAACACCCTTTCCACCCCGTTCCCTCTTCCTTGACATCCATTCTGCCACAACACCTCTTCCAACAACACCCCCTTCACCCCCTTCCCCTCCCCCCTTCCCCTCCCTCCCCACCATTGCCAACACCCCCTCACACCTTCCCCCTCACCCCCTCCTGTTCACCATTACCAACACCCTTTCAACCTCCCCTCCCCCCACCCCACCCACCTTCCTGCCACCACTGCCACCATTACCAACACCCCTTTCCTTCCCCAACCCCACCCACCTTCCTGCCACCACTGCCAACCATTACCCTACCCCTTCCCCCCCCCACCTCACCTTCCTGCCAACCGCTACCACCATTACCACTACCTCTCTCCAACACCCCATACCCCCTCCCCCTCCCCCTTTTACTGAGACCAACCCCCCCTCACTTTCCCTTTCCCCTCCCCCCTTCCTGCCTACCTTCCCCCTCCTTCCCCCACCCACCTTCCTGCCCACCACCCACCATTAACCAACCCCTTCCTCCAACACCCTTTCACCCCCTCCCCTCCCCCTTTTTCTGACACCAACCCCCTCCCCCCACCTTCCTGCCACCACAGCCACCATTACCAACCCCCTTCTCTCTCCCCCCCCCGCCAGGTGGACGGCAACGAGACCCTCGGTGACAAACATCTGTGACAACGCCGGGTCCTGAACGCCTGGCTGGCCTACACGCGCGTTGGAAAGAGCGGTTTGGCGAGGAACCTTACCTGCCCGGCATGAACTACACCGTCCCGCAGGTGTTTTTCATCACCTTCGCGCAGGTGAGGGTGATGAGGGTGAGAGGGTGATGGGGGGGTGGAAGGGGAGGGTGTAGGGGTGGGGTGAGAGGGAAGGGGGTGGGAGTGGGTGGGTGGGGGAAGGAGGAGGGAGGGAGGGGGTGGGAGGGGGGGGGAGGGGGGGGAGGGAGGGGGGGGAGGGAGGGGGGAGGGGGAGGGTTGGTGGGGAAGGGGTGGGGGTAGGGTGGGAGGGGTGGGGGGAGGGCGGAAGGGAGGGGAGAAAGTGGGAGGGAGGGGAGCGAGATAGATAATAATTTATATATATATATATATATATATATATATATATATTATATTATATATATATATAGTATATATATACTATATTTTATATATATATATAATATATATATATATATATATTATATATATATATATATATATATATATATAGTATATATATATATATATATATATATATATATATATATATATATAATAGATAGATAGATAGATAGATAGATACGATATAAAAGTAGATACATAGACATAGATAGATAGTATATTAGATAGATAGATAGACAGAGACAGAAGAGACAGAAGAGCAGAGAAAGGAAACAAAGACAGAGACAGAGACAGACAGAGACTGAGCAGAACAGCCCAGGAAAGGGGCCAAGAGGGGAGACTCAGGCAAAGGAGGAAGGGAGATAATACGATAAAGGAGAAGGGAAAGCGACAGAATGAGAAATAAGTAATGAACCAGAGGGTCCCCGCAGCTATACTTTCATTATCTTTATTCAGTTAAAGGGGAAAAAAGGCGAATGTGAGGGAAATAGGTGAAAGGGAAAGAGGAAAGGGGTAAAGAATTAAGGGGAATGAGAGAGAAGTGGATAAAGAGGGGGGAAGGAAATGGTAATAGGATGAAAGAGAGGTTAGGCGAGAAAACGGAAAGAATAAAGAAGAAAAAGTAATTAGAAATGATGAAATTCAACGAAAAAAAAAAACAAAAAAGAACGAAACAAAAAATAATTATACAAATTCAACGAAAGAAAAAGAGAAGAATAAGATAAATTAGAAAAAAAACAAAAACAATAACATTGCTACTACTACTACTACTACTACTCAGGAATTAAAAATATAGGATGAATTAAATTACGCTCAATGGACTGACTGAATAAAAAAATAATTAAAAAAAACATGATAGGATGATATTAAATTACATTCATGTGGACTGACTGAATAAAAAAATAATAAAAACAAACCATATGATGAACTACATTCATTATGGACTGATGAAATAAAAAATAAAAATAGAAATTATAGATGATATTAAATTATGCATTTATATGGACTGACTGAAAATAAAAAAAAATGATATGATGACCATTAAATTACATTCATATGGACTGACTGAATTTAAAAAAAAAAATATGATAGGATGATATTAAAATTACATTCATATGGACTGACTGAATAAAAAATTTAAAAAAAAAACATGATATTGATGATATTAAATTGATTTATATGGACTTAATGAAATAAAAAAAAAAACATGATTAATATTAAATTTACATTCATGTGGACTGACTGAATAAAAAATAATAAAAACAATGATAGGATGATATAAATTACATTCATATGGACTGACTGAATTTTAAAAAACAACATGATATGATGATATTAAATTACATTCATATGGACTGACTGAATTAAAAAAAAATAAAAAAAAAACATGATATGATGATATTAAATTACATTCATGTGGACTGACTGAATAACAAAACAAAAAAAAAAAAATTAATTCTCTCGACCTACATAACCTTTCATTATATTCATTTGACTTGGTGAAAAAAAAAATTGACCTAAACCTGATAAATAATGAGTTTAATTTATCGAGTTGGATAAAACGGTGAGCATTTGCTGCTTTATTGTGATTTACCTTGACAAAAATAGAATATTCGTTCCGTAATGTTCTTTTAACTAGATAAACGATTTCAAACGTTTAATCCAAAGCATTTATTTAACATATCATTAAAAGAATTACCAAGCATTTGATATTCTAACTTCAACTGTACTAACTCCCATTGTATTAATGCCTATTGTATTAACTTACATTGCACTAACTCACACTGTACTCATTTCCACAGTACTAACTCACACTGTACTCATTTCCACAGTACTAACTCACACTGTACTCATTTCCACAGTACTAACTCACACTGTACTCATTTCCACAGTACTAACTCACACTGTACGTTCACCCTACTCACTCCTGTTCTATTTTATACTCTGCTCACACCCATTCTACTCTATATCCCACTCTGCTCTCTCTCACTCTATCTCCAATTCCATCTCCAACTTTATCTCCAATTCTATCTCCCACTCTACTCACTCTTACTCTGTCTCCAACTTTATCTCCAACTCTTCACTCCATCTCCAACTTTATATCCAACTGTCACCTCCAACTCTACTCCACTCAACTCACTTTCACTCACCTCACTCTATCTCCCAACCCTACTCCCACTCTACTCACTCTATCTCCAACTTTATATCCAACTCTGCCTCTCACTCTACTCACTCTCACTCTATCTCCAACTCTACTCACTCTCACTCTATCTCCATATCTCCACTTTATCTCCCACTCCCACCTCCCACTCTATCCTCCACTCTATCTCAACTTTATCTCCCACTCCACCTCCCACTCTATCACCCAACACTACTCACTCCACTCTATCCCCACTCCACCTCCCACTCTATCACCAACACTACTCACCCCCACTCTATCCCCCACTCCACCTCCCACTCTACTCCCACTCCACTAACCCCCACCCCTCTGCCCCGCCCCCAGATCTGGTGCGAGGTCGTGAGCAAAGAAGGATACGAGAAGTACAGCAAGGACACCCACAGCCCTGGCGTCTACCGAGCTAACGGCGTCGCACAGAACTCCAAGTTCTTCGCTGAGACTTGGGGTTGTCCCGTAGGTTCTCCCATGAACCCCGAGAAGAAGTGTCATTTGTGGGTTTAGAAGAGGAGGAGAAGGAAGGGAGGAGGAGAAGAAAGACAGAGGGAGAGGGAGAGAAAGAAAAAGTGGCGCAAGACTCCAAGTTCTTCGCGGAGACTTGGGGTTGTCCCGTAGGTTCCCCCATGAACCCCGAGAAGAAGTGTCATTTGTGGGTTTAGAAGAGGAGGAGAAGGAGAAGGAGGAGGAGGAAGAAAGGAGATACAGAAAGAGGGGAGAGAGAGAGAAAGAAAAAGTGTCATTTGTGGGTTTAGAAGAGAAGGAGGAAAGGAGGGGGTTGTCCCGTAGGTTCTCCCATGAACCCCGTGAAGAAGTGTCACTTGTGGGTTTAGAAGAGGAGGAGGAGAAGGAGGAGGAAAGGAGATACAGAAAGAAGGGAGAGAAAAGAGGGGATTTATTTATATCATATGAACCCCGAGAAGAAGTGTCACTTGTGGGTTTAGAAGAGGGGGAGAAGGAGAAGGAGGAGGAGATACAGAAAGAGGGGGGAGAAATGGGTTTATTTATATGTGTGTTTGGAGGGGAAGGGGAGAGAAAGAGAGAGGAAGTTGGGGTCTATTATATTTCCTCTGGGGAGGAAGTGTCACTTTTGGGGTTTAGAAGGAGAAGGAGAGAGAAAGAAAAGGATAGAGATAGAGAGAGAGATGGTTCTTATTATATTTCTTCTAGGGAAGAAATGTTACTCTTTTGGTTCAGAAGGAGAAGGGAAGAGAAAGAGGAAGAGATATTTAGAAAGAGAGGAAACCGGTCTACTCTATTCCTTCAATAGAAGATGTGGAATTAGAGAGAAAGAAAGGAAGTTAGAGAACTGATTTATTTTCTTTCTCTTTTCCGTGAAAGAGAATTGTCTCCTACCACATTTCCTCTACAAATTGTCTCTTGTGTGTTTAAAGACAAAGAGAGGATTATCTCTCTCTCTCTCTCTCTCTCTCTCTCTCTCTCTCTCTCTCTCTCTCTCTCTCTCTCTCTCTCTCTCTCTCTTCTCTCTCTCTCTCTCTCTCTCTCTCTCTCCGCACTCTCTTACTCTCTACCTATTTATCTGTCTACCTATCTCTCCTACTAGTACCACCTACAAGTACCAAGAGAATCATCACCCCCCCCCCCAACCCCCCACCCCTCCCCCGCCAGAGAAGAGATGTCACTTAAGGGCTTAGAAGTGACATCCTGTTGGAGTAAAGGAAGTCCTGCGCCGCGAAGTCCTTCTCAACCCGCAGTCCTCACTTTTGGGATTGAAGGAGAGAGACAGAGAAAGAGAAGAGGGAACGGGTTTTCCCTCTCGAGAGTTGGGGTGGAAAGAGAGAGAGGGAGAGAGAAAAGAAAGAGAGAGGAGAGGAGAAAGAGAGAGAGAAGAGAGAAAAGGGAATAGAGAGAGAAGAGAAAAACAAAGAAGAGAGAGAAAAAGAGAAAAAGAAAGAGAGAGAGAGAAAAACAAGAAAAAAGAGAGAGAGAGAAAAAAGAAAAGAGAGAAAAAGGAAAGAGAGAGAGACAGAGAGAAATTTCGACAGCTGGAACTAATATTCTCTCGACGAATGCTTTCTTGAAGTTTTTTTTTCCCTCTCTGCTGCTAAAGGGACGTCGTGTTGATTCATGTGGTGGAGGAAAGAAGTTTTTAGTTCTTTAAGAAAGTTTGGAGACTTGAGTGCCATCGTCAGCGTTAGAGATTTCGACGCAAACTATTCTATTTTCTCTCTTTTTTTTAACTTTCCTTTACACGTAAGATACAACCGTGATGCGATGTGACAAATTTTGATATAGGTTGAAGGATTGCATTTATTGATAAGGAGAAAAAATTTGCACAGAAGTTCCGAATGCAGGGAATTGAGTGGAAGACAAAATACTGTCGTGACCGGAAGTTCTAATTTGCTATTAGAAATAACGAGAATTTCGACTTTATATTTCTGCCAGTGAGTTGTGGACATTCGATTCTAGCTTTTATGACAATATAGAAAAGACGAGGAATACTTGTTCACTGATGATTGTAGTGTAAAGTGTTCTCTGAAATGAACACTTGAAAAAAAATCTCCTGTGAGGATAACGTGTGCAGTTGTAAATAAAAACGATAATCTTGTCCTGTGAGATTAATCCGATTTTGAAAAAAAAAAAATCTATAAAACGGAATATCAAACTTATCAAGTTAATAAACAGGAAAACTTTGACGCCATCAGTGATTTTTATTCTCAATGATACACGTGTACAAGTCTTGGCATAATGGCGGTCGGAGTTAACCTCACCGTTGATGAAAGTGCAGTGATGGTGATTTTGTGATGAAAGTGAACTACGACAATAATGAAAATGCTGGTAAACATTTTCGTGCCTGTGAGTTAAGTGAAAATGAAAGAAAAAAAAACTTATTCTTTACGTAATTTCCATAACGAGACCAAGACGTTAACCACTGAGAGTCGATATCTCTGTTAAATAGATATTTCCGTAAACAATAGCCGTGTGCTGTGTAAACAAGTGTTTCATATAATGAGTGTAGTTTCGAAACTGTCTAAACTCACCATTTATGTGGCGTTGCGGAATTTGTGTTATGTATGGTAATCATTATCATTAGTAAACAAAGAAAAAAATTGATTGTACTTATATATATATATATTCGAATTTCAGAATATTGGAGGCTAGTTCAACCTAAACATATGTTTTTGTTATTTTCTTTTTCTTTTTACCACAAAACACTGGTTGAAAGAAGTAATTCAACCGCTATTCTTGTGGCTTTACCTGTTTCGTATATAAATTTCACAAAAAAAAAAAAAAAGATTTTACACAAAAAAAGGATGTAAACCCAGTGACAGTAATTCCAATCCTCTGGTGAAAAAAAAAATGTTTAAAAAAAGAATTGCTAAATTGTGTGTTTTTCTTTTTAATATCTTCTTTTAATGACTAAAAAGTTATGTGTTTGTGTTTTGGTGTTTTATGCTTTCAATAAGGTCGTTTCTTTTTACATTAATGACCCCTTTTCTGGAAGTTTGAGTTTATTTCGTGATTTGTTTGGTTGTTTTCTTCTGTGTATTTTCTGTGCATTTCGAAAGGACTTTTCCTACTATTAAAAAACATGACCTGGCATTTTCTCTGAAAGTTTAGATGAAAATGGAAAAAAAATAAAAATATTGGTCAACTATCTCAAATAAAAGAAAGAGAAAAATAAGAAATGAAAATATAATTATATATATTATATATATATATATATATAATATATATATATATATATCAGATTGACAATATTATGACCAATAGTCAACATTCATTTCTTTAGATTTTCAAAATAAAATTTGTATTATCTTGGGAGGTGTCGGTGGGCGAATTAAAGTCTATTAATAATACACAATTAATGTATGAATAAATACATTTGTTGTATAAAATCTCGTTTTAAACAACATCAGTGTTGATGTAACAAAACGTGTATGTATTCTCCTATTAATTTATTCAATCTTGACCTTTATGATTAGATTAATCTAAGTGATTTCCTATATACAATGTTCTAATTGGACTTTTATGTATTATATTAAATCTATAGGAAAAAAGGTTCCAGAGATATATTGGTAAAAGGTGTCATACATTCCTATATAGAAATTGTGTTTTGCTATAAAGTTAAGGAAATATGTCATGGGGTTTTACCTCCTTTTGCTGAAACTTCCGTGTAACTTAAAGAAAGGGAGAATAGAGAGAGAAAGAGAGAAAGTTAGAATTCGAGAGAGAGAAAAGGAAAAAAAAGAGAATTTATAATGATTTCCTTTTTCTCTCCTTGGTATCGGAATCTATTGGGCACATCTATTCCCACTGAACCTTTTTTTTAAATGTCTCGCGTTTTAAAAGTGGCTGGATCCACGTTCTAAGATAGTTCTAGATTAAACCTTTATATCTTTCGGGGGGGAGGGGAGTCACAGCGCCCCCTCCCCGGCTGTTCCTCCCACCCTCCCCCTCCCCCGGGTTCCTCCACCCTCCCCCCTCCCCCCTCCTCCTCCCCCGCTCCCCCCCGCCCCCCTCCCCCTCCCCCGCTCTTCCCCCCACCCTCCCCCCTCCCCACAAACACATCCCTATTCTTTATTCCCATTCCTAAAATCCACTCGAACATTTTTTTCCCCTCTCTCAACCCTTGGAATGACCCTAAAACCTTCTTATCTCGAAGGTCAGGTCACACACACAAAAAAGGTCAGCTAGGTTGACCCGGAACTCGTGTGTGGAACGAAATTTGTAGCCGAGGTGTACTTTTATAAGTATCTCTTAACTTGCATGATGTGTGTGCGACTGAACTCTCTCTACTGCGGCCACGAGGACTAACCAGAGGAGCCGGGACCGAGTGCGGGAGGAAACAGCTGAGACGTGAGACTACATTCCGGAAAATGTTTTGCGAGAAATTCATTTATATTATCATTCACTTACATGCAGTGCAGATACATACATGTGTATATGTGTATGTGTGTGTGTGTGTGTACATATATATACATATACACATACATATATACATATTTACATGCACACACACATACACACACACACACACACACACACACACACACACACACACACATACACACACACACACACACACACACACACACACACACACACACACACACACACACACACACACACACACACACACATATATTATATATATATATATATATATATATTATATATATATATATATATACATATATATGTGTGTGTGTGTGTGTGTGTGTGTGTGTGTCTATATATATGACAATACCTCAAAAATAATCAGTAACAACAAAGAACAACAAACTACAGATCTTTACATAACCTAAAGTACTTAACACCCCCTATCAAAAATAAAACATTACAATATTACTCACATCTTCACATCACCCCCCCCCCCCCCCCCACACAAAATTTACAAAAAAACAACCAAACAACCACACACAAAAAAGCTGCACGAAGGTGACAGGCCTCTATGTTTCCTTGAAGAAAAGACAAAGAAAAAAAAAAATTATATATATATATATTATAAGTTTAAGACCACTATTTGTAACGATAGAGATATGTCGTCTTGGTGTCTTCCTCGCTGGTTACCCGAGAGGGGCGAGGAAGGAACAATAAATATTTCATGTACAGTTGGTTTGTTTCCTTTTTTTCCTTTTGGTAGGAGTGGATAGAGAGAGGGAGAGAAGGAGGGGGAGGGAGGGAGGGAGGGGGAGGGAGAGAGAGAGAGACAGAGAAGAAGGAAAGAGAGAGAGGGAGGGAGGAAGGAGAGAGAGAGAGAGAGGGAGGGGGAGGGAGAGAGAGAGAGGGAGGAAGGGGGAGAGAGAGAGGGAGGAAGGGAGAGAGAGAAAAAGAGACAAAGAAAGAGAGTGAGAGAAAGACAAAAGAGACAGAGAGAGACAAAGAGAGAGAGAGATGGATCTGCTGTACGTGTCTTGTGTCTTTGGATTATGTGTACGTATATGTACGAATGGGTAAATTCACATGG